GGGTTCGACCTACGCTGTATTCTGAAGCAGTGTCTTTTACGTAGTACTTTCAGATTCTATGAAGCGCATTGTAAGGAATTGTCAAACGCTCGCTCGTAGCTTTCGATACAAGTCTGGGAATGGGAGCAAGTGGACACGTTGGCGATTTGCTTCTGCAGCTCTAGCAGGAGCTGGAGCGTTTGTGGTTCACCAAGGCTTCTCACCAAACACCAGCATTGATATCCTCGGTGAGTAAACGGCTCAGTTGTCGATTTTACTTTGTCAACACCTTTTCATTCTTTTGCGTCCATGCGTTTCATATCTGTAAACTGGACTGCACGTGAACTTGTACACCGACTGATCCTCACAATTCATTGTGCTGTTGCACAAGCAACAACCTCATGAAGACTGAAAGCGCATTCATACTTTGCAAGTGAGGCCGGGACGCTCCACCGCCAAACGGCTGCAATTAGGATACACCATTGTTTCGTGAAACACATGGGGGAGGGTCGTACTTGGTCACTTTACAGGAGAAGGTCGTATTTGGTCGTTGTTGGATAGGGTAGATAGGTAGCCGTTGAGGGAAGGGGGGGGGTCGTTCCGAGATCCCTCCTTCGAGGAGGGAGTCGTACTGACACCACCATCTCACACATACACATCTCGATGCTGCACCCTGGCTTCAGCGGTAGAATTTGAATTGAGCCGCGTCCACGTAATGCCAATCAAATTGTGCCGTTGCGCGAAGCATGAACGCGCTTCAGTCCAGTGTCTCTCCCCTCCTACTTCCCCACGCTCTCTACTCGTGGTCGCAGTGGAACACTGGCCGCTGGTAGACGCTACGTCGATATCCCAACTTTCCTAGTCCCCTGAGGCCCTGATGGTCGCTGGTGAACACTGCCGCAAAGTATGAACGCAGTTTTGTACTTCCTACACATCTATTACAGCAAGGGATGACAATGCTCATTATCAAGTCCACACTGATCACAAATTGACGAAGCGAGAGCTACGGTTCCTACAGTTTGCTTCTATTGAATATGATGACGTCATCTACATGAGTCCCATGGATTTCATTGATTCGCTGACACTGGATGCACCACGAGGTTAGCCATTGTTGTTCTACTTCATATCATGTAGCCTATTGAATTCATCAAGAGGAAAAAGTGCCGGTCCCAGCCGACTATATCATTGTGCATTCAGAACGCGTGTACAGGAGAGTACTGAAGGAGAAAGATTTGAAAGAAATGCTCAAGTGTACTCCATCTTTCCGCTCAGGAAACAAGGAATTATTCCGCTCACTTGACCAGAATGGCATCATCTCCTATTCAGAATA